AAAGGGCCAAATGTCTATATATATATATAAAAAAAACCAAACAAACCCAAAGTTAGAGAATATATAGCCCTGTAGTCAGGAGAAACAATCTGCAACAGAGAAACTACTCTGTGCACAAAAAGCATTGTTGTTCTGCATAGGGAAAAATCCAGACCGACTCAGTTCCTGAGTTTATCAGTTACTATGCCACTGTGTGGCAGAGTTTTACTACAGTCTTGAAACTGCACCTTCTGATCTTCACAGACCTAAAACTTTAATGGCTAGAGAAGCTCACTTGACTCCCCCACTCCAAGCATGCTGTGGTAGAGGTGTTATTATTTACTATTTGTGTTATTGTAGGGCCTATGATCCCTAGTCATAGACCAGGTCTTCTAAGCTCTTTTCTCTGAGCAGGTGAAAATGCCTCTCAGTCTCAAGTCATCAAAACCATAACAGCAGTCAATACCTAAAAGAACCAGGAATTCAGTTTTAGAACAGTCAGTTTTACAGTAGGCAAGTCCCAGCCTTCCTCAGAGTTCACTCAGCTTGCTAGCCTATTCAAATGTCAGGCTCAGCTACCTACGGGCAAATTCACTAATGTCTGTAAGGAACTTTATACTGATGACACAGGCATAAATTTCCAGAGCTGGCAGGAGAAAAAATGCAGGTGGAGGAGAAAATCAGTAAGTACTCAGTGTTCAAAAGTGAAAACAAAAGAAAACAAATCTGTGGACCAAAGAACAAGTTCTATGGGAAAGTTAATTATATCCTTGGCAATCAATCAACAGCTGTGTCATCAATATGAGCAGACATATATAATTCAGGAGTCTGGAGACATGGGCTATATATACACACTACGGAGCCCGTGGTAGTGTAGCTGTTGGAATAGCCCGCTTGTATTGATGCAGCCTACACCAACAGAAGTTTTTCTGTCCGTGTAGGAACACCCCCTCCCCGAATAAAGTTAGCTACATCAACAGAAGCATTTTTCCATTGACACAGCTGCATCTACACTGGGGTTGTGTTGCCATACTATGCCAGTCAAAGGTGTGGTCTTTGAACACCTGGACTGATGTAGCTATGCCGATGTAACTTCTAAGTGTAGAACAAGCATTTGTGAGCTTTATACCTCTCAAATACTTATGTCAGATAAGCTGCACGTAGAGTTGCTGGAAGCACCAGATGTTTAGTTGCCAACACAAGCTCAGAAATCCAGCTACCATGGGGTGCTTACCCATCGTTGAAGGATGCCAAAAGTGTGACACAAAGAAATACAGCTCTGAAGAGATCAGCGATACCCACAGAATCATAAGGGAGAAGATCAGACAAAAGAATCACAGAAGCATTTAAGCACTAATGACTTAAGTTTCTTTTGTGAGAAATAACATTACAGGTAAGATTTTCTTCCAGAGAACCAAGGGTATTGCTGTAGATCATGCCTGAGGACAGAAAGGTTGAGAAAACTATTTTAAAAGCTTACTTATAACTGTGGGGTTTTTTAGTGCAAACTGTGTATATATGTGAACTGAACACAGTGGTTTTATTGGTATCAAATTGCATTATATATTATTTAGCCTGAGGCTGTTACTTCATCTTTGCCAGACCACACATCCTCTTTATGTTATTGTTTCTGCACTGGCAGCTGGAGCTAGTGTAATTACATATGCAGGAGTGTCATTCTCCCACTAAGTATGATTAGTGAGTCTCCTTTCCTTCTGTCTTGCTCTCCAGCCTTTCCCCCACTACAATTTATCAGAGAGCTCTTGGCCAATACTTGTTCTCCAGAAGCTACCTCTGGCTGTCCTTCATGTCCTGGCTAGTAGATCTTTCCAGGGGGGTGACAACCAGTTGAAGCTGGCTGTGTGTCATCTCTTGAAGATTTTATAGGGGCGATGATGAGCCTGTTCTTGCATCTGTCTAAGTTCAATGTAGAGGCAGCCACGCTGGTGGAGATATGGATTGCCTTCCTCACAATTGTGAGTTTTCCAACTGCTATCAGGCCATTCATCGCATGCATGTTTATTGCAATCATCCCGCCTTCTGGTCAGGTGGACATGCTTCCCAATCAAAAGTGTTTTGCAGCATAAATACGCAAGTGATCTGTGATGCCAATGGCATGATCATATGCATCCCTTCCCAGAAGCAGCAATGACCCTCACATGTTTGAATCATCTGCTCCTAAGGCTTCTCTCACATAATGGGGCTCAGAGCAAGGATGGTTATTCATGGAGTGTGTGGTCGGCCTTTGTTAATTGCTGGGTTGTTTGGAAACTGGGCGTGGTGCTGCTGTCATGATGCTGTTCTGGGCCTACATGCCCAGTGGAGAACATCTGCCTGGTGGCTACCCATATCTTTGACTGCTGTAGTTGCATGAGCAACTTCGTTCTGCTTCTGGCATGTGATCCAGCTTATTCAACTGTGCTAGCAACTGCAATGTCCTGTCTCACATGTTTACAGTGGTTCTAACCAGTCCTGTTACGTCAGCAGCATGGCTAGTACTTCCCTGTGTGAGGTGCATGTCTGTTTTCAGGGATGTTGACTCTATTCCTTGCAGTTCTGCAAATGACAGTGCCTGTCCTCTGCACTTGTATTTGATGACCCCATTCCCCAATTCCGTCACTATGGGAGAGTGGCATTTAGGGCTACTCAGAGAAGAATAAGGAGGAAGACTGAGAGAGCATTTGGGAATTCAAAGATTCACTTCAAGGCCCTATGCTACGTGGGATAGAGGGCAGGATTAAATTATGGCAAAGTGTGTAAATTTGGGTGGGTGACATGTATGGTGCACAGCATCAAGGGCCAGCAGAATGTCTCCCTTGTCAGTGCGTGCAGCTCCGTGTCATACTGACTGTGTGTCTCAGGGATTGTATCATGGGACTGGCTACTCATTGTACCTAGTGGCACCTGGGGATTTGCATGTGAGGTGCTGTGCTTACGTCAACCTTCCAACTTTCCCACATAGCTTTGTGAGCGGCTAAACCAGGGTCGGCAACCTACGGCACGCGTGCCAAACACGGCATGCAAGCTGATTTTGAGTGGCATGCTGCTGCCTGCCCGGTAAGAGGAGGAAGGGGGGGGGCAGAAAAGCACCATGCTGGGGGAAGAAGCAGGGGAGGGGGGAAACTTGGCTGCCGCAGGACCAAGCTTCTGCCTCCTGCCCCCACAGGGGAGAGTGGTGGTGGGGGGGTCCCGGCCCCCAGCCCCACTCAGTCCCCCCTGACCCCCACACCCCCAGCCCTCTGCCCTGACCCCTGAACTCCCCCCACACATCTGGGGTCCTGGCTGCCAGCCCCTTGCCAGCCGACGTCCCGGCTGCAGGCCCTGCTCAGCCCACTTCCGGCCTAGGTGAACAGAACCCCAGGCTGGAAGCGGGCTGAGCAGGCTGGCGGTGTAAGATCAGCATTTTAATTTAATTTTAAATGAAGCTTCTTAAACATTCTGAAAACCTTGTTTACTTTAACTAAACTATTGTTGTATGTATATAATATAGACTTATAGAGAGAGACCTTCTAAAAAATGTTAAAATGTATTACCAGCATGCAAAACCTTAAATTAAAGTGAATAAATGAAGACTCGGCACACCACTTCTGAAAGGTTGCCTACCCCTGGGCTAAACAGTTGTCTCGCTTTTTTTATTTGGCTTGGCATACTCAAATTGGAGTGGTGGGAGTGTGCCTCAAGACATGTGCGGACAGGCCCTTCTGGGTTTAGCACTGGCCTCCCAGAGTGAAGCCACGAGAGGTGAATCAACCCCACCCTTCATGGTTCTCTCATTCCACACATTCCAGTCCTGAATTGCAAGTAGCTGTGCAAGGTGCTCACTACACTCTGTGACTGCTCCAAACTGCCTTCTTGTGCAACTTCCTGTATCAAGTTCTGAGTATATATCTTTGCTGAATCAAAGGTGGAGTTAGCTCATAAGGTTCTTTCAGATGGCTATTGTTGAATTCTGTGCTGCAGGAACAAGTGTCATAGCAATTGACTGCTCTCAGCCATCAGGCCTACAATAGGCAAGGAAGGGTTCATAATATAAATTCTGAACTAGTCACTAAGTTAATAACTGCTCCCAAAGTCCTCTCCTTTCCCTTCAGGATGTCAGTATGTGAGCAATTTGGGCACAGTAAAAACTGAGAGCAAGTCTTGTGTCACCCAGACTGAGAATTTAACAGAACAAGGATGTGACAAGAGGCATTATCAGGAGCAGTTATTAATATTGTAATAAACCTGGAGCTACCTAGGAACAGCAGTTGTCACTGTGCTGCACATCAATCACTGAAACCTTCATAGTGGTAGTAGGGATAGAACTCAGTGCCTTCCCTTGCAAAAACACGGGTTTCTAACTTCTGAAGTTAAGGAGAAACACTGTTAGCTATTAGCACAGTAGAACCTGCGATAATCAGTTTAAGACTTCTGCGGTGATGATGATGCAGTAGTGACAGTGCACACACGCCTAGTTCATGACACACTAGTTATATAGATTTGCCAAGTTTTAATTTATTTTGAATATTTGTATTTTTGTTAACTAAATTTTTCTTAATGCAATGTGCAATATGAAAACAGTATTAAAATATTATTTAAATAGTCTGTAAAAATCTAAGCTGGCCTGGAACTGATTTTCTCCCAGATTCTGCAGCTCAAACTCCATTATTTTTCTGTAAGAATGGCTGTCATTTCAATAGAACTGTCCTGATTTACACCAGCTGAGGATCTTGCCCTCTAAAGTAACCATCCTGCTGATTTTTTTTTTTTTTTTTTACTAGTGCCCTTCTCTTGCATCGTTGCTGATAAGTGAGCCTGGCATGTTGGCTTCATGACAGTAAAGCAAGTTGATTAGCAAGGTTCTCACTGTACCTGGGTATGTGCTGGACAGATTATTTAAACAAATCTGTCTGAGCTTCCTCTTATCAACCTATGCCTTCTTTTTTTAAAGTAAATTTATCTAAAAAAAACCCAACTAAATTATTTAAAAATAGATTAAATGGCATTAAAACTATTGTACAGAGAGTTCCCACTATGAATCTTTTGCTGTCTTGTTTTTGTTTTGGTCTTTGATCACTCGGTGTTTAAAAATGGGAACAAAGCCAACGTTGAAAGTTTGAGAACTAGAAACTGCAGCCCTTAAAGTTTTGAATGAAGAAGCCCCTGGACAAAAACTGTGAATGGGTTCTTCTGATGACAACGCCTTCGTTTCGGAGAGGAAAGGGGAAGGGATGGGGAGGGGCTGTTCCTTCTCTCCTCTCTCCCACCCCAGTGCCCTAGTTTTGGGCAGGCAAACCGCGGGGCTTGTGACTACACCCCCAGGCCTGATCCCGCTTTCCTCTGGCCAAAACCATTGGCATTTCCTCTGAGCTCACACAATAAATGACGCGGCCCCTTTTCCCCTCGGAAGAGGAAGCTTCGGAGCTAAGTAACGGTTGGGGGAGACGGGCTGGACTAAGGAAGCACAACAGCAGGGGCGAAGGGGCGGTGAGTGCGTGTCCCGGGACAGGAGGCCGAAGCAGGCAGGGGGACGGAGGCTGGGTGCGTGTCCTGGGACAGAAGGCAGGCGGGGGAAGGCGGCTGGCCGGGCGCACCCAAAGGGCTGGAGCAGGACCCGGAGGCGGCAGCTGGCTGGGCGCACCCCAGGGGCTGGAGCAGGACCCGGAGGCGGCAGCTGGCTGGGCGCATCCCAGTGGCTGTGGAGCAGGACCCGGAGGCGGCGGCTGGCTGGGCGCATCCCAGTGGCTGTGGAGCAGGACCCGGAGGCGGCGGCTGGCTGGGCGCACCCCAGGGGCTGGAGCAGGACGAGGAGGAGGCTGGCTGGCTGTCCCGGGACTGGAGCTGGGAGTGGGGGAAGAGCACTCGGTGGGAGGAGCTGGCACGCCGGGAGCGGCAGGGGTGGTGGGTCTAGGGCAGCCGGCAGGGGGGTGCCTGTCCCGACTCCCGGAGCTGGGGGAGGCTGGTGAGTGGGGTGGCGGGCGCCCCCTGCATGCAGAGGCCGGGGGGCGCCACCGCAGCCGGTACCATGGGCTGAGCTCTCGCCGCACCATGACCGTCTACACCCTGAACCTGCGCGTCTTCTGGCCTCTGGTGACTTGCCTGTGCACGGCCCTCGTGTGCCTCTACCAGGCCGTGCGAAGCAGGGCGGGCGCCCCGGACTCGGACAGCGCCCCGGACTCGGGCTCCGTCCCGCTGCTCAAGGGCTCCGCGCTGCTGCTGCTGGGCTTCCTGCTGCTCCGCTACTGCGCCTCCCGCAGCGGCGGGGGGGAGTGCGGCCAACGGCCCCGAGCCGCATGCGGCCCCGAGGCGCCGCCGAGCAGCGCCGCCCGCCGGAGCCTGCTAGAGAGCTTCTACGAGCAGCAGCTGCGCCTCTCCCCGCACGTGCTGGGCCACAGTAAGGCGCACGTGAGCCGCATCGTGGGCGAGCTGGTGCGGGCGGCCAAGGCGCAGGGGCTGCAGCCGGGGTCCCTGACCCCCACCCTGCGCGGGGACTTCGTGCAGATCGGCAGCGCCTACGAGCAGCACAAGGTCCGCAGCCCGGACTGCTTCGACATCCTGGTGCCGCTGAGGCTGCCGCCGCGCCTGGAGCTGGAGCCCCGCTGCCTGGGCGCCGAGGAGCCGGGGCTGGCCCCGGAGCTGCGCAGCGCCTTCACCTGCGCCCTGAAGGCCCCGCAAGGGGCCGCCTGGCCCCGGGGCTACCGGCCCTTCAGCGAGGGCTTCTGCGTGGAGCTGCAGGGCAGGCGCTACCTGTCCTCGGCCCTGGTGCTGCGCTGGTTCCAGGGCCACCTGCAGCGGTGCCTGGGCGCCGTGCTCTACCGGCTGCAGGAGCGCTGCCGCATCAGCCTGGCCGCCTGCCCGGGCCGCCAGCTCACCCTGCACATCCTGCCGCGCTCCGACTACGTCTGCTGCCACATCTCCATGGCCGTGCGCCTCATCCCCGCCATCCCCCTGGGGGACTCGGTCTATCTCATCGCCCTGCAGCCCGGCGCCAGGAAAGCCCAGCCCGGCACTGCCTGCCCCCTGCAGGCCCTCTGGGGGCTCAACGTCTCCAAGCAGGAGCAGCGGCTGCTGAGCTGGCTCAAGGAGCAGACCCCGGCCAACTCCTGCCACCTCAAGTGCCTGCAGATCCTCAAGGGGCTGCGGGATCTGCGCGGCCGGGGCTTGGAGCAGCCCTTCGGCGCCCAGTGGAGCCGCGTCCTCTCCTCCTACATCCTCAAGACGGCGCTCTTCTCCTTGTTGCTCCGGGGCCCCTGGCAAGCCTGGGAGGAGCAGTTCCTGGCGGAGCGGCTGGAGGACCTGGTGCTGTACCTCAGGGACTGCCTGCAGAAGCGGGTGCTGATGCATTTCTTCTTGGGCAACGCCAACGTCCCCGAGGCGGTGCCGGTGCCTAAGCTCCTGAAGGAAGCTGCCCCCGTCAATCTGCTGGCTGCCTTTGACGCCCCTACTCTAGATTTGGCCGCCTTCCAGCTTCTGAACACCTGGAACCAGGCTCCTAAGATCATCCGAATGTACAGTAGTCCAAGGTACTTGAGGAAGAGCCCCATGCTGTGTAAGCACATCACCGACACCGGACAAGAGTCCCAAAGCAACTGAGCATCACCTGGGGCGTTTGTCAGTGCCTTTGGGGCATGCACTGTGAGGCCAAAGTACATACCTGTGTTAGCTAGTAAACTACCTGAGGTTCCTAAGGGAGATCTACCTGCCTGACAGCATCAAATGGGGTTCTGTGTTTGTTTCCCTAGTCGTGGTAATCTGGGAAATCCAAAGGTCAAAATTTAAGACTAAGAAATACTGATGCTTTAAGATCTTAATAGCTTTGTAATGATGATTAGTCATGGAGGAACTATGAAACTTCCAGGAAAGTGCCTTAATTAGAAAGCACTACAATAACCACTTGTAAATCTAATTTAGTACCAGATTTATAGAGGGGTTCACACTGATGAATTTGGAGTGTCATCTTAAAGTTTAGTCACAAAAGTGACCCTGTCCAGAGCTTTCTTTTAATGCAAAAGATAATCAGGATCAAAGATTAATGGCATGGGAAAAAGTCAGTGTGACAAGGTACTTTTTTGAGATGGAGCAGGAGCCAAGGGTGTTTCTTGATCCTTAAACACAGTTTGAAATATTTATTCAATGAGACACTCATCGGTGGTTGTCTGTGTGATTTAATATACTGTGCTAAATAATATGCAAATTAATATAAAATTAAATTATGAGGCGTGACATTAAAACCTATTTGACAAAAGTATGAAGAATCTAGTTGTACATTTGTGTTAAAATGAAGGTCGCTCTGAAAGATTAAAATATAATTATACAGCTCACAAATGAAAGAAGAACAATAGCACTTTATTTCCATAAAGGCCTTCATTTTATGGTAATTGGCTGCACTAAATATTTAGTTTGAACATAGAGGCATTAATATTTTTTTTATTAAAAATGGATGGATGTGTAAATCCTCTAAGCATTCTGTCTTGGTTGTTAGACCTGAAGCATTTTTCTTCCTTCAAAGTTGCTGTACCTTAATAACTACCAAACCTCCCCCACACCTTATTTGGTATACTGTGAAATTTAAAGTAACTCCAAAAATGTAGAGGTGTAAACTCGCTGCTGCACCCATGTGTTTTTCACTGATAGGTCAGTAAGGTCCTTTAGAGGATCAGCTAACCAAACTCTTGAACTGTGGCAGCACTATGGTCTGCAGCAGACCAGGAGATACCAGAAGCGAGAGATGGTAGTTGTAGTGCAGCAAATATTTTTTTGTAAAAATAATATTTCAGGGTGCCTTAAAGTTCCCAAAACTTGGGACAAATTCATGGTACAGTAAGTACTTATTAACTTTGATGGTGTCCCTTTAACGTAAACACCAGCCAGATAATTTCCATGTGTAGATAGATTATTTGAGAATACCTCATACAACTTCTCAATTGATCTGTAATGAGCGCTTACTGTCTTTGGATAGTATACATTAATAGTTTAGTTTTGGATTTTAGCTGAGAAAATACATTTGACCTTATGGGCCATTGCTGCATTAAACTATAGTATGTAGAAAAGGATTAGAAAGCTTCTATTTCATATGCTCTTTAAAAGTGTGCTTCATTTCTGATATAAATAGTTAAAAACTATTGAACCAAATGCATCACAGTTTGTCAGCAAAAGTACACCTTCTAAGCAATCCAAACTCTAATGTAATACAAAATACATTTCCACAGATTCTGAGACCGCATCCTTGAAAATTAAAAGTATTAAGGCACCAAGCCTGTAATTGAGTTTTTCATGTGCGTAAGGTTAAGCATGTGCCTGATTGCAGGATTGGGTCCTATGTGGACAGTCTGCTGTGCTTAATTTTAAATCGGTAAATGAATTGGGAACAGCTGGGAATGTTTGGAATAATTTGAAAACTGTTAAAATTTCAGAATATTGTTCTGTATATATTATGCTGGTGTTCTCTATCTGTAAGTCATACATGATAGAAAATAGCAAACTTTTAAAAACAACCACAAAGCTTCATAAAACCTAGTTTACTAAACTGAAAATTTCTTCAGTTTTAGATGCATGTTTCCTTGTATATGGTTTTTAAACTGCCTTTGCTGTCTTATTTTGAGGTAATTTAGCACCTAAGTGTCACTTTCTCAAGTTGGGTTATTTTTACATGGAGCGTTGGTTCTCTCTTTGGGCAAATACAAATGGCTTGTTTATGTGTAGTGTTGACCACTGTGCTCATCATGCGGACCTAAGTGACCTACCTTGGTACATTTTTAGTAGGCCAAATGTTTACTGTTTTTCAGACTTGTATAGGGTTGCCAAGCCTCCAGGTTTGTCCTGGAGTGCCCAGCATTTAAAGATTGTCATGTGATGAAATCTGTAGGAATACGTCCAACCAAAATTGACAGCCCTAGGTACACATACAAGGAGTGCTATTCTGCAGTCCTGGAGTCAATAGGAGTTTTGCCTGAGAAAGGGCTAGAGAATCAGGTCCAAAGTATTGTGGTTGCCTGGAGCACTTAATACACATTTAGTTCAACAGTTAATTCTGGCAACATGGTTACCTTAGTGAACTATCTGTTTGTTTACATTAGTGTGTAACACTTTTTTTTCCCAAGGGGGACTATGTAAATTTTGGTGTGTGTTCCTTACTGGCTTATATAATACATGGAAACCTATTAGATTTAATACAACTTTCTTATTGCTGTTAAGCGCTGATACTACAAAGGGAAAGTTACATCAAGAAATGCATAATAAGAAGGGAGTTTGGGGAATATAAATAGTTTGAAAGTGAAACTCGAAAGTTGGGGGGAAAGGACAAATAAGGAGGAGCAGAAACACTTGGTGAAAGAGCAGTGCAGGTAATCCAAAGGACACAAAGACAAATGGAGGAACCCTGTAGAAGAGTCATGGAAGATTTGGATTGAGGTGGGGGGGGAAGTGATTTAACCATGTTAAACCGTGCTTCCAAAATGTATATAAAACAAGGCTACAGTTGTGGCGGGGCTCCATACCCATGTTCCCGTCAACTGCAAAACTCCCATTGATTTAGGCTTACTAACAACTTCAAATCAAGCTGATCTTTAATGGGAGCTTTTGCTACATAAGGTGTATGTGAGATTATGTTCTTGGTGATATGAGCAAACCAAGGCCCTGATCCTGCAAATACTTATGCACCTGCTTTAACTTCAGTCACATGAGTAGTCCTGTTTGAAGTCAATGAGGCTATTTACATGAGTAAAATCAAATTTGCACTCAGATGATGCAGGATCAGAGACTGAAATTCTCTATTGAACAGCAATTCTGGTGTGTACATTTGGGGTATTGGTTGGTATTTCCTGTGTCTATAATGCCTACGTTCATCGATATACTTATTATGTTTGACTAAAGTGACTATTGAAAATTGGGTCTGTTAGACTATTAATGTCATTCTATGCCAAATGAAATGTGGTGGTGCGAATACTAGTTTCTGGTGCTATCTTTAGGATCTTATCCTGCAAACATGCACATGCAGAATTTGACCCATGTGAGTAACCCATTGACACTCTCTTCCCTCATGGGAGTGCTCACATGAGTAATGTTCCACGCATGTATTTGCAGGATTGGGGCCTTACTTGTTACAATGTAATGTAGACTGAGCATGATAGTTTGTGTATTTAAATTAAAAATGAAATATAGAAAGAAACACGTGTTTCTTAGACACTACTGTGTATTTTAACTACATAACAATTTTTTAAGGACTTGGTATAATCAAGGCTGGTGTCACTTTTTTGGGGAAAAGCTACATCTAAAAACAGAATAAATTGAGATGTGCATTTGAATTTTTGGAACTGCATATCTATTTTCCCCATGTATTAGAAATTATAGTGTTTAATTGTTAAGTTCGTAACACTTCTTAAATGAGACCTTAATTAAATGACTAAAGCATTCCTCTTTTGGATCTTCTTGCAAAGCAATCGAAACTAAATGTCTGTTTTGAAATAGACATTCATGGTACAATTATTTTTGCTGGTTAATAATCAGACCAAAGATTTAACTAAGTGTTGTTCAGCTGCTATTGTTTAAGAAAGTGTTTATATGCTTAAAACGTTAGCTTGTTCGGAACAAATGTTCATAAACTCTTCTTCTATTTAATATCCAAATACATGTGCACTTTTATTGCCTCAGCAAAAAGTTGGAGTTTTTGTTACTCATTTTTAATATTTCACTGTCTATTAATAAACAGCTGTTTTGAAACCTCTGTGCCTCAGTGATTCTGTGGCTAAAGGTAACTTCTCTATCAAGTAGAATTTACTCAAATAGCTGTGAACCCGCTACTGTATTACCTAAGGGTGAAATCCTAGCGATTGCAGAAGGTTCCTCTGCCTGTGGGAAGACCTGTCCTGACGGCACGCTCCTTGGGACTATGAATAAGGATGCTGTGGAAGGACCAGGAGAGAGGTTGCAGTTTGGGCAATAGATCCACAAACTGTTTGGGTCCATTGCCAGAATTCCATGCACAAGGATGCAGACTAGGCCAAGAATGCTGCTGCAAGTTGTAGTAGCACTGGCTGCACTGTTACCAGGTTTGGGAGGGGGCCAGTTCTGTTTTTCTGATTGGGTCCCCACATAAAGTCTGCTTGCATTTTTAAATATGGAGGTATATCTATCTCATAGAACTGGAAGGGACCTTGAAAGGTCATTGAGTCCACTCCCCTGCCTTCACAGCAGGACCAAGTACCATCCCTGACCGATTTTTCCCCAGATCCCTAAATGGGCCCCTCAAAGGGAATTCGCAACTCTGGGTTTAACAGGCCAATGCTCAAACCACTGAGCTATCCCTTCCACCTTGGGATTTGCACAGAGGCTTAGGACATCACTCCTAGTGCACAGAACTTTGTGCAAGCTGTATAGGCATTGTGTGTGTCTGTTTCAGACTTACAAACTGCATGGGCCTGATTTTGTCATTGTTTCACATGGACAACTTTCACTGAAGCTAGTTGCAGTTGTGTGTGGGTGAATGGGAGGATATCCTCCCTCATTCATCCCACGTATGATGCTAAAACCATATTTTTGTTGCTTGTGCCAATGTACTCCAAGATCTGAACCTTCAATATGTTAAAATACAAGTTAAACTTAAGATAATTCATCCGAAGTATTTTTCCAGTCCCCTCCCCACAAATAAAAGTTTCTGTAGAGAAAAAATCAAGTCATTCAAGAACCCATTTTATAAAGCACTGAGGAATGTTCAGCCAATTGGATTACTCAGTTGACTGAACTGACTGGCAGCTCACTAGCAAAGATGTTTTCTTGTGCCCTTATTGCACATTCAGTGATCAAAGTTTGGGGAGAGTATTTGGATTAGTTTTCTTTTTAATTAATATCTTGAGGTGATTACATTGGTCAGTGCGTAAGCTTATCTCCACCCACCCAAAGACACTCCTGCTTGGTGCTAAAGAAAAGTCTTTGTGTCCAACCCATAGAAGAAATTGTTTTAAAATCTTTTCATCCATGTGAAAATATCAACCTTGTAATGCAGACAAGTTCGGCAGTGACTTGCTGATTAACTACTGGTAATGCAAGTTACAGGTGCCTGAAGGAAAAAGGACTTTCTTATGCATTCAGAACCACTCAAACAGGAGACTGTTTGCTCTTTTAGTCTATTTCCTTCTGTACCTTCTTATTAAACATGTGGGAAAACTTGACAGGTACACAATGGGGCTGAAATTTCACAAAGGAGGACACAAACTTTATGTAGTTAACAAGTGAGAGATGAATAGCTCTGTTTCCAGTCAGATCATGAAAATAATCAAGATATATAGATCTTCAAAAATATAATGGAGGAAGTAGTTAGTGTTTGATCATGCTATGTATTCATTGCAGTACTCACTGATATTTTAGGATACAGCTCTCCACCCATTTGAAGGCTTTTGGTGACTCCTGTTCTAATGAGTATGTAATTTAATACCCCAAGATCTGAAGAGCTGAATCTCTCTGTGGATCTGTTTGTGAATGGGGTTTCCATACCCATGTTTCTAGTAGATATGGTTAGTGTTTAACTTATGCAGTACCTATGCCCATATGTGGAAATGTCTATTTAAGCATGTCTGTGCCTAGCATATGTCTTATTTTGGTTATATGTCCCAAATGTTCTATTAAACCAACAATCTTCCACTGAAACTTATCAATACAGTAGAACATAATTTGGTTTTTTAGCTCTGCATGTAAATTGCAGGACCGATTGATATCCACATAACACTTTGTGCTTTCTGTCTGAGACTGTCAAAAGTTCACTACAAACATTGATGCCTTTAAGCTTCTTTCTACCCTAACCCTAAAGTAGAGAAGTAGTATCATTCATTCCCCCCTTTAACAGGTGGGGAAACAGCTTCAGGAAGGTAAGCGATTTGCACTGAGCCTCACAAGAGGACTGTTGCAGACCTGGAAATTGAATAGGTATTTCTTGACTCCTATACTTTAAAACAAAACACTTCTAAAGGGTCAGTTCCTTTCTTTAGCTTGACATTATCACAGTGGGCTTCAGCCTGTATTTTAATGGTGCCCACAAGTGTGGTAGATGCATCCCAATCAATATAAAAGTCATGATCACTGGCAGAAGAAGCTTATAAATAATTTGCAACCAGGGGAGTAACTAATAGGGAGATTAGGAGGTGGCAAGATATGGGCAAGCTTGCTAAGGTTATATGGTTACTTAGTGAAGGCTATGGGTTAGAGTAAAAGAAGAGGAAAAATAAGGTAGACGGCTGATTTAAACCATTTCTTAACATGCTTGCTCTTTAGTTTCAAGCAGTGGAAAAGATGGTAAATATTGGGCAAAGAAAGTTTGGTTGTATCTAGATCCTGTTGATAAAGTTTATTGGGCCAGGGGGCGTAAGGGGAGGGCAGCTCTCAATTCTTATTCTTGCCAATCTTGTTTTGAATTAAAACTCTGAAATGTTTTAACCTGTCTTTGGATGGAGTGTTTGGAAAACGAGAAGTATTAATCATTCTTGGATTTTTGACTGGTGGATGCTATCCAGTACAGTGTATTCACCTTTTAAATGTAGCGAGCTCCACAAATAAAGAGCTGTGCATTTCCATTAGGCTTGTGCACATTTAAAATGTTGAATTGTTTAATTCTTGTTGGCATGACCAATATAGACATTCCACTTCCTGTATAAGTAAGCGCTGGAACAGCAGCTATAGAGGAAATGAATCATTCCTCTATTTCTGTGTCAAAAGACATCTGAGCACTGTACAATACATTTATGAATCTTTTTATGGGATTCCTTTTAAATTCCTCCTTTACTAGAACCCTATTTACCTGTAAAAATATGTGTATAGAAGAAGGGGGAAAGCCCTTCCTGTGCCTGTTTAATAGGGCTGATTCAAAAAGGTTAGGCAAACTTGGTTTATACGATGAGGCAATCTCAGGGTGCTCCCTTGAGATAGTGGTTGCTCCAGGCAGTGCTCTGCTCTCCTTCCTGTTGAATGGTGGATGGATTCCTATTAAAAAAAGAGACAGTAGTACAGTGATATACTATAGAGTATGTTTGTTGAGTATAGATTAAAGTGCATTATTTTGAGCATCTTATCTCCTCTTGGAGGCTCATTTGTCTCTCTAGATTTGAAAAGAGGAAGCTCAAACTAGTCAAAGGATTATGAAGCATGAATGCTTCTCAAAGTAATCTTTCTACCCAGACTGTAAATACTTTCACAGAAACTATTTTAGCTACTCAGCCATTTCTGCTTTACAAATGCTATTGAAATGTTCCGAATAATAGCTGAATCTAAGACTCACAGAATATCAGAATTTAGGAGGCTGAACCTCTCAATCCATTTTTCCTAATTTTTAAAATGATCTTTTCACTCTTGTATGCGGTCATAGGAGTTGATAGCCTAAATCTGCTTCTTCATTCATATTTCTTGTACTACTGTATGGTGGTTCATAGGCACGTAAACTGTTAATGTGCTTTGTTTTGGGGACTGTTGTTTCATTCTGTGTTCAGACCACACCCAGCACACTGGGGCCCTGGTCCATGACTGTGGCTCTTCAGTGCTACCACAATGCAACTAATAAGACTATAACAACTCAGATATCGTGGTGATGGATGTGATATAACTGATAACATAGGTTAGTGTAAAATTCTATTTTGGTGGGAGATGGGCTAAAAGTGGGGAGTGAGAGTCAGAGTTTCTGGCTTATCTTCCCAGTTCTAGAGGTAACTGACTTTAGGCAGGGATTTCCATGCCTCAGTTTCCATTTCTGCATAATGGGTATAATACTTCTACTGAGGGTTGTAATTAGGCTGAATTAATATCCATGAAGAACTTTGAGAGCCTTGGATGAAAGGTGCTACTGAAGTACAAAACATTATTATAGATATAAGGCTGGAATTAATGCTTGTGGAGCATATTGAAATCCTCAGGTGGAAGACACTATTCAAAAGCAAAGTATTATTACTAGTGTTTAATTCTTTAAAACATTTTGTGATCCAAATTGTATGGAAGATGCTATACAAAGTAAACATCGCTGAGGTAATTAAATTTAATGACAACTGTTTTATAGATTTAATCCAGGAGTTTCCTGAGGTGTGTCAGGAATAGTACAGGAACACAGATCTGCTGACTCCCAGGCTTGTGCTTTAACCACTAGACCATGCTCATTCATGAAACTGTGTGTGTATGTGTGGGGTGTTAGAATTTCTATTTCAATGATTAGACAACTGGTATTTCTAGTGATTCCTTCTCATTCTGTAGTAGGGAAGAGGAAGGATTGCTACATTAAGTTGTATTTCCCCTTTCTCCATTTAATAGGCGGAGTTGGAGGGGGGAATACTGCAAAAATACATATTGAGTACGGTGCCTGTGTTTGCATTTGAGTTACAGTCACTCAAATGGTTGTAGCAAGCGCATCTTAAGCTAGCACACTCCAGTATTGGTGCTGTAAATGGTGGGGTTTTTTTTTGTTTTTGTTTTTTTTAATATATGGGGCAGGATACTGCCTGATAGAGCAGTGGGATGGAACTTCCCGATCCTCTCACCAGTGCCCTGGCATAGAGGCAGCTAAAGAAAGCAGATCAGGATCTGACCACGACCTTTGCTTCAGGGACCACTCGTGCACACAATTAGTTTACATGAATTGGAGAAGAGAAGTTTAAATTTAAACCCTGCAGCCTGTCAATAAATCTTAGAGATAAGGTGGGTGAGGTAATCTCTTTTATTGGCCCAGCTTCTGTGGGTGAGAGAGACAAGCTTTCA